GAACAAAGATCCTGATGAGAGGTGAGATGCTTCACTCCTGCAGGCGGATGCAGCCCTGATGGAAACGTTCAGGGGAAACAAGAGAAGGAGATTTGAGAAGACGGCGATTGCACGTTCCAGACCACCAGGCTGTTTCCAGGCTGTTTTTAAACAGTTTATCAGCGTCCATCTGTGATTCCAGGCTGTGCTGTTGCTCTGTGATGATGATGATGATAATGATGATGATGATGGTGATGATGTCAGTAGATTCTCAGATCTTCTCTCTCCCCCAGTGCCCTTCCCGCCCCTCAACGTCTCCCACAAGGTGCTGTCCCTGAGCCGCCGGGCCGCAGCGGGCGGGCGTGAGGTGGCGGCCGGCCGGCGGTCGGCCCGCCGGGCGCGGGATGTCCCACTGATGGAGGAGGCCGAGACACAGCCTGAGGAGGACGTCGTCTTCGAAGAGGAGGAAGCGACTCCTCGGGTTTCCTTCAATGCAGCTCAGAACGTGACGGAGAGTGTCGCCATTAGCAACGGCAGCCGCTTGGAGGAGGCGGAGCCTCAGAGCTACTGGCTGGACCCCACGGAGATCTCGCCCGCTGACAAAGATGAGGAGTTCGTCAACGCCTTGGTGTCGGAGTACGAGGACTCCAATGAGCCGGGGTCGGCCATGGCGGTGCCAGCCGAGGTTCCAGTTCTGCCCACCAGGCTGCCCCCCGTCCTGCTGGAGCTTCGCTGGCTGCCCCCACGACCTCCAACCTCCTATGACGGCTTCAACGTCTACATCTACAGAGACGGTGAGCAGCAGTAGGGTCCGGTCACATGGTGGAGCGGTCCATCTCCTGAGTGACGGGTTCTCTGACCCGCCCGACACGTGAGATCTGTGATGAACCAGTTCTTCCAGTTTCCAGTCTCTGACCTACTGGTCTTGTCTGTAGGGAACTCCACAGAGATGGCGACTGTGGACGAGAACACGCACGAGTTCTTCACAGAGCTGACAGAGCCAGGAACGTACCGAATCCAGGTCACCACGCTGAGTTCGTCTGGAGACTGTGAGGCCCGGGAGAGCAGCGCCGACACCGGCTTCACCTTCTACCTCAGTGAGTCTCTGGAGAACCGGCAGGTTCGGAAACAATATGGCTGCTTAAACCTTTTTGTTTCATTTTCACAACTTTCAGCAGACGCGTTAACTCTGAGCGATCCTCCTGGATCGTCATTGATTTGTTCAGGGTGTTAAAGGTTCTGTTTGGATCTACTGTGGTTCTGGTCCTGATGGGTCCGTGTGAATCCATCCAGGTCCCAGCGGCGAGCTGTTGGAGGAGCTGCGTGAGCGTCCTCAGGGCGTCAGCGTCAGGCTGCTGGACTCCAGCACCGCCGCCGTTTCCTGGGCTCCGTCCCCTCAGAGCCACAACGGCAGCCTGGTGTCGGTGGTGTCCACCACTTGCCTGAAGCCCAGCCTGAGCCAGAGGATGGAGAACGCCTACTGCAGCGAGGTACCACTGGCCCGCCGGGCCAAACAGACACACAGAACTGCCTCGTCTGGTTGCCGTTGTTTCCTTACCCCCAGTCTCTCCTGAAGCTTGTCGGCCTCGGGCTCAGAGTTACTGAACTTTTCTGTTTTCACAGGAGAACTCGACCAGTGACATCATCAGCAACCTGACGCCCGGCGCCCAATACCGCGTGGTCGTCTACCACACCAACGGCCCTCTGACCAGCCCGCCGTCCGAACCAGTCATCATTGACATCGGTGAGTTTCCCTCCTACTTCCTGTTGGGCTGGTCAGGCTGTTTCCTGTGTCCTTGCTGACTGACCAAGTGTGTTTGGCTCAGAGCCCACAGGTGTGCGGGAGCTGGCGGTGTACCCGCTGGGCCCCACGGCGGTGGTCCTCAGCTGGCAGCGGCCGTACCATGTGGCCTTCAGGAAGTACATCCTGCAGACGTTCTTCTTCAACCCCGTCACGTTGGCGTCCGAGTGGACCACCTACTACGAGATTGCTGCCACCGCCTCCGTCATCGCTACCGTGGTAACCGCCGTCTCCGGATGGTCGGCACTTAGTGCTGCTGGCGGCTGCTGATCCAGTTCTGGTTCTGTTTGTCCCCAGAGAGTGACCGACCTGCTGCCCGCCTGGTACTACAACTTCAGGGTTTCCATGGTAACCTGGGGCGACCCGCCGCTCACCTGCTGCGACAGCTCTACGGTCAGCTTCGTGACAGGTATGGACCAGAACCGGTTACCGGAACCAGTTACCGGGTCTTGAACCAGCTGTTGGATCCAGAATCACTGTTCTGGTCCAGTTGGAGGTTCTGTCTAACCAGGCCTGTTCCCAGCTCCGGAGGCGCCCCACATCTCGTTGGTGGATTACTCCCAGGGGGTTCTGGTGGTCCGGTGGACCTACGGCGAGCTCTTCATCGACCTGAGCCACTCCAGGATGCTGCACTGGCAGGTGGAGGCTGTGGGCAAGAAGGGGCCACAGAGGAGATACTCAGTAGACGTAAGGAACCCGGTTCTGGTTCTGACTGGGCGGCTTGGACATCCGTAGCGTCCGTCTGAGTTGGTTCTGTTTCCCAGGTGACCCGGAACGCGATGCAGGCCAGCCTGCCGCTGCCGCCGGGAGACATCTACAACCTGACGGTGACAGCGTGCACGGAGCGCAGCAGGAACACGTCTGTTCCCAGCATCATCAAACTGGGTCAGAACCGGATCAGAACACACACACGTTGCAGAAGGCTTGATTCTGCCGGCCAGGTCCGGATCCTCAGAACGGATCCGGATGGCAGGAATAAACGTTGATCACAAGAAATAAAATTAATTCATAATAAAGTTCTAAGTAAAACTAACATTGTTTAATTAAAATTTTATGGATGTTAATTATTGTTGCACATTAAACTTCAAACCATTTAAACAAAAGATTGGAATATTTTATTTAGTAATTATTTAATATTTTTATATAAAATAGTTTTATTAATTTTATCTATAAAAATTAATAATGATGACTTCCAACTTAAATTCAAACATTTTTTATTTTACAATTTAAAAAATAATTAAATTAGAAATTCCTTGTTAGTTTTAGTAATTTATTAAAAATGTTAAAGACTCAGCCTGATGGAGAACAATGTCGCCATAAATCTAACGTTTTATTTCAGGAAATCCTAAATCTGATCATTTGAACTTTTTTCTGAAGAAATGTTAAAAACATGAAATCAGGAATAAATGTGAACCTTTGATCTGAGGCAGGTTTGTTGTTGTAGTTCTCCTTTCTGCCACTAGGGGCGCCAGAGAACTCCATGACCTGCTCAAAACAAGCAGCAGTGGACCTACAGATGGCGACTCCCACCTGTCATTCATTCATATCTTTATTCAGGATTTCCTCTGATACATGGAGGGTCAGAATTATACATAAACTGCCTCAACCAATCAGTGAGCAGGATCTGGACCACACCCATTGTGATTGGCTGAAGAGCCCAAATGTCTCCTTCCAGTTGTTGGTGCTGCTTCACATTTCAGCCCACAGCATGGTGCTGCCACCGCCATGTGTGACAGCTGCAGGTAGAGGTTGTGGGCGTGGCTTCGTCCATCCAGATGGGTTCTGCAGGTCCAGGAAGTGGTTCTGGTTCTGCTGCTCCCCTCCAATAACCAAACGGGAAGTAGGTCATCTCTGGCTCAGGCTCAGGATGAAATGTTTTAGTTTCAGTTTTTTAGCTCAGAGGTTCTGCTGGGTTCTGCCCGTCCAGCGCTGCGCATTCGGACTTGTCTGTGAAAGTGAAACAGAAACTGGCCGGGTCCACTTCCTCTTCTGGCATCTTTAAGTGGGGCCGCTCAGAGGAAGTGGCGGCGGTCCGGTTCAGCCCGGTTCAGCCCAGCTGATGGAGTTTTTGTCCCGCAGAACCGGCCCCTCCCCGCCTGTTGCTCGCCGTCAACGCTACGCACTCGTCCATCACGCTGCTGTGGAGCGAGGACGGCGTGGTGGACTACTACCAGGTTCTGTGCCGACCCAACTGGGCCAGCAAGGAGCTGAAGGTAAGCCCGCCTCACACTGGATCTGGGTTCAGGAGTGGGAGGGCTTCTGCTGCCGAGCGGACCCAGAGCCAGAACCAGCAGAAAGAGAAGCTGAGTGTTAAAATGGGGAAGAGATTTTATCGTCAATATTTTTTTGTTTTTTCTGATTTTCTTTATTTATCATCAAGTTTCCCCACAGAACCACAAATCTAGTTCTGATCCGAACCAATTTCTATCACATGTAATTTTTTTTTAGTTTTCTTCTTTTTTATGGTTAAAATTTTTTAACTGAATGTATTCTGTCAGATTTATTTACTGTTTTAAATAAATCTGACTAAAAACTGGATTTTTAGTTATTCTTGTTTCCATCAGAATTTACTGAAAAGTTCTGATGCTCATCTGATCCGGAACCGTTTGACCTCGGCCCATCTGGTCCAGAATAATAATCTGGACCACAGTAATCCTCAGGCCCTGGTTCTGGTTCTGAAATTCCCTCCAAGAGTTTTTGATGTGTTCTGGAACCAGATGATGGACCACAGTGCAACTGCCTGTCCTGGTTCTGCTGCCTGACCCGATTCTGGTCCAGAAGCTGAAGGTTCTCCAGAACTTCCTGGTGAACTGGATGGATATGAGCAGAACCTGGATCAGTTGTCAGGAGGATCTCTGTGGTTCTGGTTCTGACCTGTCAGGCTCTCTGGATCAGAACCATTTGCCCAAGTTCAGTCAGAAGGCTCACACTGAGCATGCTCAGACCAATGGGTTGTGGTTCTGTTCTGACGTGTGGCTCCCCCTGCAGGCCGGAGAGCCCATCACCTCCACCGCTCAGGTTCTGACCGTTTCGGGTCTGGTTCCGTCGTCCAGCTACAACTGCAGCGTGACGAGCTTCAGCTACAGCTCAGCCAGCCGGCCGGCCCGCATCACCGTCACCACTGCAGGTTGGGGGCACTGTGGAGACCTTAAACATGTTTTAACCAGATCAACACAAGTAGTGTAAAAATCTGAAAGGTGTGGCAGGCTTTTTATTCTGCTTTCCTCTGAATGCAGTCTCACTGAAGCGGTTCTGGTCTCAGAGGTTCTGGCTCCTGCAGGTTTCACCAACTCAAACTTAAGGCTTTTTAAGACCAAAACGAATGAGATTTAAGACCTGCATTATTAAAACATGTTTAATAGAGTAAAGTTGCTGAGCTTCGCTCCACACAGTGAATGCAGGTTGACTTCGTAAGACAAACATCGCCCAGCAACTGATGATAAATGTACTTTTACCCTAAAAAACAAGCTAGCTAGAGTATATTAGCAGCTAGTTAGCATTAGCATCATCCGCCTTGAGATGTATGCATTTGCCTTAAACAAAAATCCTGCTAGAAAAATAAACTACAAGAGATGAAACGGTGCTGCCACCAGAAAATGGTAAACATTTTTAAGACCAACTTCTATTTTAATTAAATGAATTCAAGTCGATTTTAGTTTTTTTTTCCTGATCATGTTGAGATGAGTTTCATCGACCTGCTGCAGATTAACCAACACTTCTAAACTGAAATATCTTTAAGGGAATTAGATTCAAACAGGAAGTTATAAATAAAGACTTCCTGTCATCTTCAGTTTGCGGAACTAGAATTTAAATAACTGATGACCATGTCTTCCCTGACATTAAATCCACTTCCTGCTGGACTTCCTGTGTGATTCATGGGCCTGATGATCTCACTGAGAATTATTCCTGCATTTGTTTAAATTCGCCTCATTAAAGCCAGCAGGAGGCTTTTATCGTGAAGGTGTTGAATAGGAAGAGCAGTGTAGGCTCCGTCTTCTGATAATGTAACTGTGTGTGTGTGTGTGTGTGTGTGTGTGTGTGTGTGTGTGTGTGTGTGTGTGCGCGCGCGTCTGCAGCCAAAGAGATGAACCCGAGCATGGCGGCCATCTCGGCGCTGGCCGTGCTGAGCCTCCTGCTCATCAGCCTTCTCGTCCTCTTCCTGCTCGTCCTCCGCAAGAAACACTTGGAGATGACCAGGTGAGTCTCCGCATCAGCGCCGTCACCATGGCAACAGGAGGCAGACCTGTTCATCCTGAGAACCCTAATCCTAAATGTTGAAATGTTCAGAAAACAGGATTTATTAAAATACCAACAACATCAACAGAATGACAATAATAATTATAAAAATAATAATAATAATAATCTGATGTCCATCTGGTGTCTAAACTGGAAGGGAGCTTCTGCTAGAATTTTCCCTTTTAATAATTACAACAAAAACTTTTATTTTTGTCTACTAAATCAACTATTAACGCAATATTTTAATTAAGCTGTTGAATTTCTGTATAAAGCAGAAATGATTGTAGATTTAAAACCAAAACCTTTTCCAGGTTTGTCAGATTGAAAACATAAACAGCAAAGCATAACTGAACGTTTTCATCTTTTTCTAGATTTGTTCTTGTGTGAATTTGGCTCATTTCTGCTTTATTTTTCCAACTTTATTAAATGTTTGTGGCCAATTCTGCATTTTATTAGAAGCCACTGGAAGTTTTTAGTCCTGATTATTAATAAATTAAATTAAATTAAATAAAAAACCGGGATGACTTAATTAAATACTTTTAATTTCTGTAGGATTTTGCTATCATTTGTTTTGTTGTGATTTTTCTTTATTTCTACTTTTTTTTACTTGGGTGTAGATTTAAGTCTCTTTGGGTTAGTAAAGATTTTGTTTCTGTATTTATAGTTTTATTTTTGGTGTTTTATATTTTATTTTAGTTTCTGTTTTGGTCGCTCTGGGTTTTTATTTTTTTGTCTTTTGTTTCATGTCATTTTTTAACTTCCTTATTTAGTGAAAAAATAAAATGAAGTGAAAATAATTGTGTTGCGTAACGTGGTTTGAATTGAGCACATAGAAGCTGATTTTCCGTTATTCTTCACTTCCTGCTGACTTCCTGTTTTTCCGTGACTTCCTGTCTGATCCCGTCGCTTCGTGTTGCAGGAACTGCAGCGCCGAGACCTTCGTTAACTTCGCCTCGTTTGAGCGAGACGGGAAGCTTCCCTACAACTGGTACGCTTCTCTTCTTCTTCTGCTGCTGCTGCAGGCGGTTGGGTTGCCGTTGGCGACGGGCCGCCGCAGCATCACTTCCTCATTTCACAGCTGCACACACCCAACAGGAAGCAGCCCAGTGGAGGGACAGATTGATGAGGCAGATTAGGATGTGAACTTGCACCTGCAGCTTTAATGTTGTGTGTAGCCCTTTAAGACGACGAAGGCGACGATAATGATGATGATGATAGATGCTGTTTGTTGAAGATGAAGGCTCGGGTCTAATCTGCAGCTTTAAGAGCCAGTTGTTCTTTCAAATACCTAAAAACAGAAATGAGAGCAGTCCATTAGTTATCTTTTCAAAATAAAAGCCTCTGAGTCGGTGCTGTGGCTGAAGGTTCTGGTTCTGGTTCTGATGGTTAATATAAGAGCTGAAAGGCAGTCAGTGAAGGCAGAACACCATCACTAAACATTTCATCAGCGTGTCGTGCTCTTATTGTGAAGGGCAGCTGTGTTTCTGTGAGGAAGAGGAGGACGAAGGTGATTTCAGTCAGAACCAGCCAAGGACTGGATGGGTCCCATTGGATCTGTTCCAGAGAGCCAACCAACATTTACTTGAACTATTCCACAGTAATGCTGATTCGGGTTTTCTGGTTCTGGTTGACGGTTTCACTCCCAGTCTGCCTCTGCTGCTTTATGACGCCCCTCCCCCCCTCGTTGCTGAGCTCAGCGGTGATGTCATGGCTGTTCAGTGAGGCAGCAATGCTTTAACTCTGCACTAATTGAAGCCTCTTTACTAATGTAGCTCCATGTTTTGTCCTCCCTGTCGCCCTCTGGTGTCTGTTCTCTTTATTTTCTCTTTTTGTGTCTGTTTATTTGAACCTTCAGGCGAAGAAGCCTCTTTGCCTTTCTTACCCTCCTGCCATCCTGCCTTTGGACTGACTATCTTTTGGCTTTTTATATTAATCCGTGGTAAGTAAGCGCCTGCTGCACTTTGGGGCATGTTCACCCGCCACAGTCCATCGCTCACAGTTTGAACTCAGAGACGCTCAGATCAGCCTGGTGTGTGTTAATTCTTCCACAGTCTCTTGGAGTCCCTCAGAGCTCTGAACCAGGAACTGGGTTGTCCTCTGTGAACGGAGGAAATGAACTCCATGGTGTTCATCAGGGCTGCATTCTTGGCCCTCAAACACATTTATCCAGAAGTTTTTACTGTTTGCTTTTGCTTCATGGAAACCATTGAAACAGCAGGAGTTTACTTTTCTCTGCTGATCAGTTTTCTCAAATAAAAACAAACTTTTTTATATAATTGTAACTTTATAAATTGGTGATTTGGATGTTTTGGCCATTTTCAACAGATTTTTCAAGAGAAAAGTTTAAATAACCTGAAGTTTTATCATTATTTCTTTCATTTGGCTTTTTTAAGACCAGCAGAAACGACTTCATGACGTGAGCCAGTGCGTTCCTGTTGGATCGTTTGCTCAGTATTTCATGATTTTCTGAAAATATCATGTAAATCCTGATATTTTTGTGGCTGTTCAGACACACCAGACTCTGCAGCGTCGACATTCCTCCCTCTGGAAAGTGTTAGCATCGCGCTGAACTGTGGCGGATCGTTCCGACACGGCGGACGTCCGCAGCATGATGCTGACTCTGCTTCGCCGCATGCCGTCAGTCACTCAGTAGCTCAGGCTCTGTAGATATGCATGATCCTGGTTTCTTGCGAATCCAGAGGCATTTCAAAGTAAAAGCATGAATGGCTTAGAGTAAAGTCCAGCCTGATGGAGCCGGTGCCAGGCAGGTAATGGGTTCGGGTTCGGCCGTCTGCATGGTGGTGATCTCATGTTTGGCTTCTTCTCTGAAAGGTATCTGGAAGCCTGTGGCTGAAAAAAACGTTTCTTCAAGAAAGAAATTATTTTCTCATATTTTGTTCTGGTGAAACATTTCACCGACTTGTTACCGTGATAATTAAACTTTTTTTATGAACTAAAATATAGCTAGAAAGTATAGATTTAAAATTCTGTTTGTAAAAATCAAAGAAAACAAATCTGTTCCCAAATTCAACTTTTTAGTATAAATGAAAGTGTTTTATGATGTAAAAGCAGACAGATGGAAACTTGCAGCCACAGGCTTCCTGCCTGTGTTTCTACCGTATTTCCTCTAATAGAGGGGATTATCCCACAAATACATCAGATTTTTCA